TGTCAAGGCCTGTCCTTGCTGTTTGGTATTTTTGTTCCCTTCTCTCCTTCCCTTTATGAAGAACGGATATTCTGATACGTAATACTCTACTTCTCAGTCGTTTGTCAGTTCTTTGAAATGTTCTTGCCTACGAACCACAACATACACCTCTCCTCACAGAGGCAGAGGCGAAAAGATGTCGACGTGACACAATGTAATTCAATGGTAATTTTAACAATATGGGACCAGCAGTTAGCGTAACGGCTATGTCGCTGGACTCGCATGTAGTCGACCGTGGTTCGAGTCCCGGACCCAGTGGCTTGAACTCACGCTGGGCACGTGTGCGTGCGTGCCCAAGATCCCGAGAGGAGAATGGAGAAGAAGGGATTGGAGCTGGCTGGCATGTGCACGCGCCCTATAGCGAAAACCTCTCCAAAAAAAAAAAAAATTCACTTGCCAACTTAGAGGACTTTGAATATATTAGGAAGTGTCCTACTTTATTCCATAGCCTACAACTTGTCTCTCACGCAAAACACATTTCACTTCTGAACATTTATCTTCTTTGTTAGGAACAGAAGAAACAGTTTGTCTTTGACAACAATTGACCCAGCGGAATAAAACCACCGTTTCTCCAAATGAGAGCACGCGCTTCCCTTCCATGTCAGTGAGTGATAATTAGCGTATAGTAGAAGACTTTTAAATGCCATGAAAGCGCTCGTTAAGGTGGCGGCGTGGGCTGTTCTGCAGACGGGCCACCTGAGTCAGGTGTGCTGTCAATGTATTTTTCGTCTTCTGCCTCATCTTCCTCGGCACCGTCCGAGGCGTGGTCTGGAGGTGAAGCCAGCCGGTCCTGCGCCTCCTGCTGGCGCCTCACAGGACACGCACAGCCGCTGCCGCCGCCATCCCGTCCCACAGCTCTCCCAGGAGCGCCGTGGTGGCAAGCCACCGGGTCCGGGACTCAAACCACGGGTGACCATGTGGGAGTCTAGCGCCTTTAACCACCATGCCGCCTGCCGGCCCCTTTTTTTCTTTTTTCTTTTTTTTAAATTGCCAAAGGATGAGTGTGCTCACCAGAGAGAGAATCTCACAATATGGTGGGGGTTATTCCGCAATTCTTTTTCCGCCATTTTTCCTTCTTGTCAGGATTTTTGGCATGCACGGACATGTGCCTACTGTGTTTTTCTTTTCGTAAGAATAGTGAATTATTTATTAATTCAACTTTATTTATTTATTTAAGTTTGACCAGAGAGGGACAGAGTGAGAGAGAGGGGGAAAGTGAGAAAGCGAGCCTCCAGGTCCGGGATTCGAACCACAGTTGGCCACGTGGGATCTAGCCCCTTTAACCACTGAGTTATGGGGCCAGCCAGGCCACCTTCATTTTAACTTAAATGAGCATCATTGGCATGATCTACTAGACCCTATGGTGTTGGCATTTTATAAAAAGTGTCTTCTTCATGGGAGAGGAAAAGAGACAGAGAGAGAGAGAGACTCTCTGTAAGGATCTTTTTAAGCTGTGAAAGTCCCCAGCCTCCCCAGCTGGGACCAAGGCACACAGGTGTGTTCAGGGTGACCCAGAATCCAAACCCAGGCCTTCCATTTGGCTCCCGTATTGTACAGTGGTGCTCCTCCCCTGGGCCACCATGGCTGGACCCTGTGGGCAGGGATTTTTATTTTTGTATGATTTTTTTTTTCTAATTTTGCCAGAGGGGCACGTGCACTCACCAGAGAGACAGAGAGAGGAACATGAGAAAGCTCTCCCTGTGGGAGATGGTCACGCCACAATCCCTTCTCTGTCTCTCCCTCCTTCCAGGATTTTGGGCATACATGCATCTGTGCCTGGCATGTTTCTCAAGTCACCAGGTTCAAGACTTGAACAGCGCAGTTGGCCATGTGGAACCCAGCCACCTTCACCACCACACTGCTGGCTAGCCTGGTTTATCTTTTTTGTCTTTTTTCAAGTTTATTTATTCATTTCTTTTTTAAAATTATTTATTTAATTTTATTCATTCATTCATTTTAATTTGATGAGAGAGAGAGAGAGAAAGCAAGCTGCCAGGTCCAGGACTCGAACCACGGTCAGCCATGTGGGAGTCTAGCACCTTAGCCACCACGTCACC